GCTGTGGGGTTCCCGATGAACAGGTCGCTCGTTTCTCCATTTATGGAAGAAAATGGCAGAAACGCAGCCTCACATACAGGTGAATGATCTAAAGACACAACATAACACACAACGTGAGAAAATGTGACCACACTAATGATTTTCTTGAATATTTCTTTGTCCTGCAGGATAGAGAAATACACACCTGACATGTCTGTGGTAGAGGTGGATGCTTCCATAGACAAAGCTCTGCAGGTGTGGGCCAAAGTCACTCCACTGAGGTTCACAAGGATCTACAGCGGCATTGCTGATATTATGATCTCTTTTGTTCGCCGGGGTGAGTGCAAATTTTTTTCAGCAATGGAAGATGCACTCAGATAACATCATTATTAAAAATATGAGTCTAAAACAATAGAAAATAGAGTATGGATAGGTTACTCAGAATAAGAAAATCCTAAAGAAATGATGTACTTATACACACGATACCTCTAATCGGCATTATATTGTATTACATAGAGTTATATATGTTTTAGATTGATTGTTTGAATCCACTTGGAGATAACTATTTACCAAATGTTTCATGTCAATGTGTACACAAAATGGTTTGTAAATTTTGGCTTGTTTGCCTTATTTAACAGAACATGGTGATTTTAATTCCTTTGATGGGCCCGGTAACACTCTCGCCCACGCCTTTGCTCCCGGTGATGGTCTTGGAGGGGATGCTCATTTTGACGATGATGAATCTTTCACGTTCCGCTCAAGCCGTGGTGAGGTTTTCACTTATCATTTTTCCTTTTTTGATCTTTACGTGCTGTGATTTTAGAAAATAACTGCATTGTCGCACTGTCCTGTAACCGGCCTGCCATTATGTGTTTTCGGCTTCAGGCGTCGTCCTCTTCATTGTCGCCGCCCATGAGTTTGGTCACTCTCTGGGCTTAGGTCATTCCAATGTCCCTGGTGCCCTAATGTACCCAACGTACTCCTACAGAAACCCTGACACCTTTGTTCTGCCTCAGGATGATGTTAGGGGCATTCAGTACCTCTATGGTGAGTACTGAGGGTCTGAATATTGCTTTGGTATTGCTGCTCGTTTTGACCTTTGGTGGATTGTGAAGCAGGGCTTCCCAAAACGTATCTTTTGAATTCTAGGTTCAAACTCTGGGAAGGATCCCTCTGTGGATGATCCCAAGCCTCCCACTACTCCTGATGCCTGTGATTCTACCATGGTATTGGATGCTGTCACAACCCACAGAGGAGTGATTATCTTCTTCAAAGACAGGTTTCAGATATGCGCCGCAGCAGAGTGCTAAAACATCTAAATCCACAGTTTAGTAATGATTGTTTGATGGCTCATGTTTGCCTCTATTTATTATCAGCTTCTTGTGGCGTAGCTTCCCCCAGAGCCAGACTCCACAGCAAAGCCTCATCAGAAGCTTGTGGCCCAGTGCCCCTGTGGACATCGATGCTGCGTATGAGAGCCGACAGTTAGACACAGTGTTTCTGTTCAAAGGTACTGGTTTCTCCTTATCTATGTAAGAAACACATTCCATATTTTGGAATCTAACTTAAGCGTTTTCAATCATTTTTTACAGGTCGCAAAGTGTGGGCCTTCACTGGCAACCAGCCCGTGCGGGGCTACCCTAAAACACTAACTGCTTTTGGTCTGCCAAAAGGAGTGAGGAAAATCGACGCTGCCCTTCATGATGTAAACTCTGGCAAAACTCTCTTCTTTGTAGGCAATAATTACTTCAGGTGAGTTGAAAGTTTACCAGTTCCAATTTTCACTGTGAACTACTCTATACTATTAACGTCAACTGGATCGATCTATTTTCTGTTTTTCTCCAGTTATGATGAGTCCAGAAAGACTATGGAGCAGGGATATCCCAGACTGGTGAATCAGGCCTTTGCAGGCCTGACTAGAAGAGTTACGGCAGCTTTCCAGCACAAAGGTGAGTGGTCCTCACTGCTAACCTGAAATTAGAGATTTTTAAAAAATGTCTTGCCAGACTAAAAGTCATGCTACTGTCATTGTAATTTCCACACTTTTAACATAACAGCAGAACCAGAAGCAGCTCTAAAACTCTTGAAAACTCTTTAACTCTTAAACTATACGCTCCAGTGTAAAACCGAAAAGTAGCACCTACTTTATAATGAGTCTAAAAACATAACCTCCCCGAACAACAGTTAAGTATTAAGTACTGAGCTTAGAGACAGTAGTAGGTGGATTTTTTTGGCAAAGTCTGATGGCTGTATTTATGCTTTAAGCTAAGCTAACCGTCTTTTAGTTTAGTATAACCAACACATGAAAGCAGTGGCCTCATGTATATCGTTGAATTAAGACAATGTATTATTTTTGTGAACCATTTCTTTAACTAGTATTTAGACTAACACTAAGCCATTGTTCTGCAGGTTACACTTACATTTACAGTGGACCCTACATGTATGAGTACGACCTGGGGACTGGGACACGGCACCGTGTGTTGAGGAACAGTTACTTCCTGCGCTGCACGAACCCCTAGACGAATGGGTCTTTGTTTTTACAGTATGTAGTAATTGTGCAAACTAAGACAAAAATCTGTAAACAAAGCCTACAGTATTATTCAAGTACTTCACTGAAAACGTTTAAACTGCACTTTTCTCAATTTCTTTTTTAAACATATAATAAAAGTGGGGCTTAAGGAGTCAGTACTATGATCTATAAATATATGATCTACACATCCTTGCCTCTGCTAAATTATTTTGATCCCAGGTGGACACAAAATCTTTGCCCTTGCCTGAGTAATTCATTGTACTTTAACAACAGTTACAGCTCAAATAAGATTGTTTAGTGCTGCAAGTTTTGCTGAAACAAAACAAAACTAGTTTATACTGGAAACAACTAAATTAAAAACTGATATTGGTATCTTGATATGACTGAATACTCTCTAAAGATTTTGAGAATATTAAAGAGAAATTGAACCACTGACCAAGTAGTATTATGTTAAAGGGGGATTTAATACTGCATTGTGCTATAGCTGCAGAAGGTATGAGATGGATGAGCACTGCATTAAGTAATTAATTTTGAGAATATTTTAATGACCTTCTAAATGCAGCTTCAAATGTATTTTCTAAACGTGTTTTGTTGTAATTGCTCAGATGACTTCATTTTAAAAGGAGCATTCACTAGTAAATACACTAAATGACTTCATTGTCTTTAGACTGTTGTTTCTTAACTATGATATGAAAAATGACTGTATGAATTTTAAATAACTGATGGCTACATGTCTTATTTATATAAAAGCTGAACTGTTTAAAAACATCTGATACTTTTTGGTTATTATATCCAATATAAATAATACATTCTCACACAATATAATAAATACATAACATGGCTTCTTGGCATAACAACACATCTGTACGGAGCAGAATGTCATGGTCATGGGTCATTGATTCAGTGCTTTGTGTTCATGGACTTCTTGACTAATCATTATGATGCTTCTAGAGTGACTCATATTTATTAGTTTAGTTTTTCTTGGAAAAAGGGGAAAAAACAACCTCTGCTTACCACACAGCCAGACCCTGACACAGAAATCTATACATAGACCCCCCCCCCCCCCCCCCCCACACACACACACACACACACACACACACACACACACACACACACACACACACACGGTGCTGATGAAATACCCTGATGTCCTGCTTCAAGGCTTTTCAGACTGAAATCAACATGTTCTTGTTGATGAAGTGAACATGCATGAACATGAAGTAAATTCCTTTACATGCAGATCTAAGGAATATATCTCCCCCTATAGACACACACACACATTGACATTGTAATGCTGGTCTTATTCACAACACTGGCACTGAATATTTCCATATAAAATATGCAACTAGCTCATTATAAGCTTTAAAGTCTTTTCCACAGCATTGAAACATAGCTGCTAATCATGTTAATAATCTGACCTTTGCTGAAGGTAAGCTTGTGCTCCATATTATAGTGAATACTTGGATTATAATTCTTTAGCTGATCAGATAATGATCAGCTTGCCGTGCAGGGAATTATGTGTCATTTTGCATGAAAATACTTTTGCATATTTCCAAATATGCTGACAACGTATTAACTGACTCATTGCACTCTCTAACCTAGTCTGAAATAGTTAATACCAGCAATTAAACTATACATTTTAAATTGTTATTATTTTAAGGGATACATTAACCTAACCAAAGATACAATGGCATAAATTGGGCCTCCTGCTTCTTTGATTTCTTCTTCGTACTTTCCTGCCAGACAAAAAATGCATACTGGAAGCAAGGAAACAAAACATAAGGAGTGAGGGGATGAGTGAAAACACAACAAAGAACAGAGGGAGAAAGATGCAGGCAATATATACAGATAGCAGATAAGGATGGAAGAAGGAACAGGTGGGGAAACAGCTGACACTAATCATAGGGGACGTATATGGGAAGTGAAACTGAACGATGAGGGACTATCAAAATAAAACAGAAAACCAACACTGAGACATACCAGCTTGACACAGACAAAAAGGAAGACAGAGACAGGATACAGAGGGACCAGTCAGACATGGGGTAATGACTGGGGAAGAGAAGATAAATAGACTACAGAGGACAAAATATATGACGAGAGAAAATAGCAATGCACTTGTAATACACACACCCCAGACTTAAATACAAGAGCCCAAACCTCACACGAAACCCAAAATACTGACTCAAAGTCCCTGGACCATGAGAGAATCAATTTATATTCTACAGCCATTTATTCATTAAGCAGAAACGTTTCCTATTGGCACTTAAATGAATAAACAATAAACAGTGGAACTGGAACCTGTGAAATACTGTAAAATAAAATATTTATTTATATTTTTTAAAAATTATCAAGGTAAATGTGATTACTGTGTGTTGATCTTAATATATATATATATATAACCCAATATATTTTATTTAAGCAATACACATTGGATGTTGTGGATGAAACTACAATAACTACAATGCTTAGCCAAAGATGACGTAGGAAGCACACCTCCTCCTGTGATTGGCTGATGTGTTTATTCGTGCGCTGCTGAAGGTGAAGCATTAGTCAGTTCTGTGTCTCAGTCCGAAATGTCATCCAGTGGACTTTTAACCATGCACGCTCAAATCTGTAAACGTCTGGTAAGTGATGGGCTGTGAAACTGTCATCATAGGTTTGTGGTCATGTTGTTGTAAGAAACAGGAAGGCTAGGCTGGCAGCACAGGGCCCTGGTTAACTTCAAGTAGCTGTGCTAACCTTGCTCTGTGTGTGTGTGTGTGTGTGTGTGAGTAGCGTTCTTGGCAGGTTAAAGTAATGCAAACACCTGAAAACATACTGTACTTGTAGCTGGTTAGTCAGAGTACTTTAAAGAAGCAGTAGTAGTATGCTTTACTGGCTTCAATACAGTCGACAGTGTACCAGAAAGGACTAGTTGACACCAAAACAGGCTAGCTATAGCATCAGCTGCAGCTAGCTTAGCGCCCACAAAGAGTACCATTGAAACTCTAGCTCCTGTCACTTCATTAGGCAGCTGATATTACCTGAATACCTGCCTTTATTGTCATATTTTTCACGGTGACAGTTTTATTCTAGAGCTTGATTCTAACGTGTGATGTTCGGGTCTGTGGGACACCTTTTCATTGTTTAGTAAACGTCAAGTTTTTCAGATTTATCATTATTTCAACAACGGCTAATTTTCTGTGAAGAACATAAAATAACCCATTTTTATGATCTCGCACTGTAATCGTGTTTGACACGTTTCGCCCCAGTTATGACAGATGGCTTAGCTGCTGCTTCTGGACAGGTGAAGCGGCAGGATTTGGGTTTGTTTGTTTGTTTGTTTGTTTGTTTGTTTGTTTGTTTGTTTTTCCCCGGGACGGAGTCATGTGCGCTGGTGTTTGTAATTATTAAGTGAATGTTTTTTAATTAAGACAAACGGCCACGTGCACATGTAAGAAAATTAATACTAGATCTCTCATTGTTATTTGTGCTGTGGATTGTGAAGACTAATATAGAGTATTCATTCACTAAAACACCAGAAAGTGTAATTGAATAAATATGATTTTATTGGAATTATTACTTGCTTATGCAAGTTTTTTACTTTTAACAGAAAATGATATTTGCTGCATCAAGTGGCTTCACGCACAGTCTAACATCCTGCACATTCAGAAACTTATTATTTTGACTGTAGTAATGAAACCAATGAAAATTAAAGAATTGTTGTGCTATTACTATAAAATATAATTTGTTACTATTTTTTTTTTTAAATAATTGTCATTACAAATGAGTCCTTGACCTCAAAAAACAAAAAGAGAAACTTCTTTCTTTTTTATTCCCACTAATACTCTCGGTGTAATTGTGTCATAAAAAACAGGAGAGCTGCATGCAGATGCAATTTCAGTGTGATTAAAAACGCAGACGCAGACTGACACGTTGCAAAAGTTCAGGAGCAACCTCTTAACTGTGTTGTGTTTGCTTAGATTCAAAAAGGTATCTAAAACATCAGAGCTGCTTCTAGCTTTGTTTGGCCGTGTGGAACAACCTGATGATGGAAAGTGTCAGACGACTAAAACATCAACTAAACGCATCCAAACTCTTTTTTTTTTTTCTTTTTTTTTTTACAAAGCTGAGGAGGTGACTTGGAGGGAAAAAACCAGGCCAACTCAGTCTGAAAGCTGAAAACCTGTGTGGCTGTCACAATCAATATAGCCCTCGTTTGTCAGTATGTTTAATTCTATAAATTGTATTAAGTAAGTACTCTGCTCTTTACAGTCACAGCTTGTTGTCTTTAACAGTCTCAATGTTTTTCTTTCCCTGTTTGTGTGGGATTTAGCCGCGATAACACATGCTGTTTTCATAATTATCAATAGCCTGATATAACAAGTACCCTTATTTAGACTTGTGAAGCAGCTGCCTGTGTTATTGTTTCACAGAATAGGATTATGAGACTGTGACAATAGTTAAAAGTGGCCAGCAGATGTTCTGGTGGAGACGGGTGTCAGAAAGTTTCAAAGCCTCAGGACGTTTGAACGTTTCACAAAACCTGTTTCTACTATGTGGTGTACATATGGTAAATGGCCTGTATTTGTATAGCGCTTTTACTAGTCCCCCCCTAAGGACTCCAAAGCGCTTTACACACACATTCACACACTGGTGGAGGCAGCTACAGTTGTACTCACAACTGTCCTGGGGCAGACTGACAGAAGCGAGGCTGCCATATCGCACCGTCACCAACACCAGTAGGCGGTAGGTGAAGTGTCTTGCCCAAGGACACAACGACCGAGACTGTCCGAGCCAGGGCTCGAACCGGCAACCTTCCGATTACAAGGTGAACACCCAACTCTTGAGCCACGATCGCCCATGTGTGTTTTGTGTTTCTGCTCGTGCTTTTTCCAAACAAGGTTCAAACATTTCAGTCACATTCATCTGCCTGTTCTCGCATTCTTGTAATTCTCCATATCGTTGAAAGGATTCTCTGAGGAGTTTTAGGACTTTTAGATAAGAGAGAACATTTGGAAGATAACAGATGGGAAGAGTTTTCAGAACGTGAGTCATTTTGCCTTTATTGGATAGAACAGTGCAGAAAGTAGACATCAGCGCAGGGCGAGAGTGAAGGGGTATAACACACGATAAATGATCTGGGGCTCTAAATTCCATACGTTGGTCACTTCCTCAGCCAGGTGAGCCAAAGCAGCACCATCAGTTCAGAGTCTGAAAGTGAGCACGAAGACAGGATTTGACACTGAACACCTGCCCCAAAGCAAACCCTTGGATATCAAAAATGGTGACACTGAATAGTCTCCTCGCCCAAAGAATGAGCCATTGAGCTTGGCTGGTAGCATGGTGCAACCAGGGCCAAGACAAATGGTGGTCCATCTTGTGGAGGGCATCAAAGCTGATTTTTACTCGTCATCCTAGATCCCATCTACAAATATACCAGTGTCAGTAGATGTTCCCTGATTTGATCCTTAGCAACAGAAAGACAAGCTGCAATGTGTGTTTTAGAGGTGGACGGCAAGTAGTACATATGTAACACACACTGTTGTATAGGGTAGCACAAAAAGGCTGCTTGTAGAGTATATATCAATCTGTTGAAAGATATAAATGTCAGTAGTGATGACAGTTTGCTGCCTTTATATTTGATTCAATTTTCTATTTCTATTACATTTTATGACCAAAAATCAAACAGCATATTTCATAAATGGGCTTCAATAGAAGTAAATGACCAAATATTAACCATATATATGGTCTATCTATATTTCTTGTACTTGGGGTAAAATAAACATCTGTTAAGTACCTTTAGATACATTGTTATGGTTGTATTGGTTAATAAAAACCCTAAATGTGTTGGGTCCATCAGACCCACAAAACAAAGGTCAGACACCTGTCATAGGCATTATATCAGCTAAATACTTATGTTCACTTATTATTTATAACATTTATGATCTTGTCACTGTAGGCTCACAAGTATCTGTCAAGAACCTACACATCTCATCCTTCCCTCAATGTAAGTACTATCACTGAGAGCCTGCACTGACAGTTAATCATCTGTAGAGCACAATAACATATATACACTAAATGTATGGTCGTAGGAAGTCGTCATTGTCAGCGCAGTCCGCACTCCGATGGGATCCTTCAAAGGCAGCCTAGCTTCAGTTCCAGCCACCAAACTGGGCTCTATTGCCATCAAGGGGGCCATTGACAAAGCAGGTATGTTCGGCCACTTCACTTTCACTGCTCGGACGGATCCACTTTCCTCTGTTGCTTGATAAACATCGGCTGACGCTGTGTCCATACAATAGGTTGAGTATCTGTCTCTCATGAGTGGAAACAGGGCTGCATTAAAACTGAGGTAGCTGTGCATGTTCAGTATGTTGCCTTTGTGTTTAGGAATTGCTCCGGAAGAAGTGAAGGAAGTCTACATGGGCAATGTGCTTCAGGCTGGCGAAGGACAGGCCCCCACACGACAGGCCTTGCTCGGAGCAGGTATGACCACTCGGCTATATTTAACCCACAATATTGATACATCTGTGCTGCCTTGAGGGATATTTTTGAGTCTGCAATATGAATTATTCCCAATTTCTTGAGCTAAACACTGTTTTTTGAATATTATCTGTTGACATTGGAGGCAAATTTGCTGCAGTTTCAAATGTGCATCCAAGCAGAATCCAGAGCTGGTGAGAAGTTGTCTTCATCTAATTTCTGTTATAGTAAGAATGATGTCTCTGATTGCCTCCACAGGACTGACCCTCAGCACACCAGCAACAACCATCAACAAAGTCTGTGCATCTGGAATGAAGTCCATCATGATGGCAGCTCAGAGTCTAATGTGTGGACACCAGGTATTATCAGCATTAAATCTGCAAGGTGTAACAAAACACGAGTGCAGATTCATCTGAAATACTGCATCTTTTGCTGTCATGCTAGTACTCGATCACAGATGTGATCCTGATAAATGCATAAATGCACGTGTTTATCAGGACTGAAAGAAACTTTTGTTTATAATGGGCTATTCCGGCTTTGTAATGCAAATTACTCTGACTATAGTTCTATATGTGTGACTTAGGATGTGATGGTGGCAGGAGGCATGGAGAGCATGTCCAATGTACCTTATGTGATGGCAAGAGAGACCCCATCCTACGGAGGAGTGAGGATGGAAGACCTCATTGTGAAGGACGGACTCACTGATGTCTACAACAAATTCCACATGGTGATCCTCATGTTCTACTTATTATTGGAAAATTATAAGGCCTATGTGCATTTAGAGCATTATAATATTGTTGCTCTCTTACAGGGTAACTGTGCAGAAAACACAGCCAAGAACTGCAAAATCAGCAGAGAGGAGCAGGATGCGTACGCCATCAACTCTTATAGCTGCAGCAGAGCAGCGCACGAGGCTGGTGTGCTGGCAAAGGAGATAATACCTGTTACTATTACCCAGAAAGGTACAGGAAGATATACCATGTTTGTCTCGGCCCAGTGACTTTAATTAGTGTTATTGCACAGCTAATGTTGTTGATGGGGTTTTGCAGGCAAACCTGATGTGGTGGTGTCTGAGGATGAGGAGTGGAGACGGGTCGACTTCAGCAAAGTCCCCAAACTGAGAGCTGTGTTCCAGAAAGAGAACGGTAACGATGAGTTATAGAGCAACATGAAGCTGTGTGAAGCATCCACATTCTTCTTGCACTTTAACACTAATTAAAATAAAACAAAAAGATTAAAAATGAGATTTTCTTTAATGTTTTTAACTAAGACGTGTAACATCAGACAAATACAGTGTGTACTGTTTTTATTAAAATAACTTAAAAAAATTGTACAAGTAGTTCTGCTGCTACAGGAAATGTTAATAACAGTAATGTGGTTGCTCATCTGTGCGTTGTTAAAGGTGTAATTTATTTTGATGGGTCTCTTGTTATTTTTTTATTTTGCTGTTTTCAGGCACGGTGACAGCAGCCAATGCCAGCACACTGAACGACGGCGCTGCAGCTCTTGTTTTAATGACAGCAGATGCAGCAAAAAGACTCAATGTGACTCCACTGGCCAGGGTTGTTTGTAAGTTTTTCGTGGACGCTTGCTTCATGGAGAGCTTTACTGTTGGTTTGCTCTTGGTTCGCACTCACAAGGTGAAGAAGGAGGCAGTGCTGGTCGATATTGATGGAAAAAACAAAAAGACAGTGTAAAACCTAACCCCAATAATTACCTGACACCATATGATCAAGTACTTGGTGACAGTGGGAAAGAAAAACACTTAACAGGAAGAAACCTCTGGCAGAACCACATTGACCACATTTTTTATGCTTTTTTCAGAGCATTTAAAATCACAAGAAAACAGCAAATAAGTTTAAGCATTGATATTCGTTAGAGGCATCTTTAAAAGAGGGTTATTGCAAACCCAAAGGCCGACTGGCTCCAAATAGTTGGACCTGTATAATGAACTGGGTAGAAGCTGACTTGATACATTTGACCATCATTTGTTCCAGTGGTATCTGTTCAACTATCTTCATTAAAGTAACAAAAATCTGTCATAAAAAATCTTCTGTTGTTAAACCGTTAGCTGGCTTTGTTTAGTTGTTGTTTTTCAATGCATCCATTTGAGTCTGACACCAGTTCTTCAGCATTTGTTTATATCAAGTCACGGTGGTAAAATGAACTCCTTTTGAAATGAAAGTGTTTCTTGTTTCCTCCTGAGAGTATCTTTGGATGACTTTTGGTTGCCAAACAGTTCATATATATCTGTACATTCTCTGATTTGTTTTACACAGCTTTTGCCGATGCTGCAGTTGCACCCATCGACTTCCCCATTGCTCCTGCATTTGCTGTACCAAAGGTGGGTTATGAGCATGTAGTCTGGCACTTACATTTTCTAATTATTTTGCAACATTGACACAACCCCCAAAAACAGCCACCAACAGTTTTTCCCTCCTCATCTTTTCTGTTTTTTCACTAGTTCGATGAGACTAGTCCTCTATTAGGCCAGTCTCTGTATCACCTTATGCTTTTAGTAGTCTGAGGCAATACTTGGGACCCTACAGAGGTTACACAGGTAGACCAACTCTGACACATCAACATCTGCCATTGACAGAAGGCTTTCTGTGTCTCCCAGCACAATTTCAAGAGCATGGGAGAGATTCGAACAGACAGGCAGTTACTTTAGGATAGCTGGACTGGGCCATAGAAGGTCCTTAACCCATCATCAGGACTGGTGTCTGCCCCTGTGTGCAAGGAGGAACAAGATGAGCACTGCCAGAGCACATCAACAACTCGTGTAGGAGGTCACTAAAGAACCCAGAATAGCATCTAAAGAACTGAAGGCCTCACTTCTTCCAGTCAAGATTACATAATATAAGAATAAGCCTGACCACAAATAGGAGAGTTCCAACGACAAAACCACTGCTGACAAAAATAAACACAAACTCCATTTTTCAAAAAAATATCTTGATGATTTTGTAAATAACCCAAAACCTTTGGGAAATATTCTGTGGACGTGGGAGATAAAAGGTGAACAAAGAATTCAGCAAAGTCCAACCTGAAAGGCTCATCGTCAGTTATCACAAATGCGCGATCCTTCTTCTTGCTGCAAAGGGTGACACAACAACACAATGACATCATCATTTAGAAACTGCATGTCGTATTTACCTGGGTTATATTTGTTTTGTGATTACTAAAGATTGTTCATATTTATATTTTTAGGTTAAATTAAAAGTATGTACAAAAGCATAATATAATAATTATTTAGACCCATATATGTGTATGACTAGACCCGTGTGTGTGTGTCTGCCAGGTGCTGGATGCAGCGGGGCTGAAGAAGGATGATATTGCCATGTGGGAGATCAATGAGGCCTTTAGCGTGGTTGTGCTGGCTAACATCAAGATGCTGAACATCGACCCAGCAAAAGTCAACGTTAACGGGGGAGCTGTGTCACTGGGACACCCCATTGGGTAGGTGACACAACAAAATGTTACAACTTGGCTTTAACTCACCTGGTTCTTCTCAAAAGTATTTTTTTTCTAGTAAATGTGTTTACATTTGTCTGAAATATTCAGATGTGGCCCATAATATTGCAAACAATACATCATAACTGTTTCTCTTCGCAAACAAGAAACCTGACACGTGACAGCCCTGCTAACCTTTTTGGCTTTGTCAGAGTTAATTATTTAACTGGAGCAATGCTTAACCACAGGTATGTGGATCTTCTCTAAGCACTGACCTTAGCAATTGAGACTTTGTTGACTATGCTTAAAAAGCCAGCTCTGTGCCAACAAACCACATAATTTAAATTAACTCTACAAATTCTGCGAAACAGTGTGCTCAAATGTCCAGCCTGACTTATTCTAGAAGCTTGTCAATGGCTAACAAAGGTGCCATGGCCGAGATTAACTTGCTAAGAGACATTTAAGCAATATAAATAGGTGCGTATGTATATATTTGAGCCTGTGTGTGTATATAGTATTAAACATGTATAGATGAGAGAAAATCCAAAATAAATTCAAACCTGTTTACCCAATTTATTGAAAGTCATTGAAGAAAAATCTCAGAAACATCATTCCACTCTGGAAAAAGAACAGTCCAAATTAATCATTCCCAAAATGACTATTCATGGCAGGCTCAGCCTACGTTTGAAGCCGCCGAGGTGTTCGATGGCGGGGCTGACGTGATGTCACTGTTATGAATGAAATTTGCCACAGTCCAATAACTCCAGCCTTGCTTATCTTGTCCGTTTAACATCTTTATTGCATTCCATCAGTTGTATTTATTGTTCAACAGTTCTCTTTATCCAACCTCATTTATCATAAATCACAACAGCATAGCGGTCACAAACTGTTTGCTTTTTCCGACATCTGACACTAATTACGCGTGCCTACCTTAAATACAGTCCCATGTTTGATTTCTGTGCACTTCTGTAGTACGCCATGGCTTTTTAAACCTAGAGTAGAAAAGAAACTATTACCCTCTATTTCTCTTTCCTCTGTCAGGATGTCTGGTGCAAGAATTGTGGGTCACATGGTGCACAACCTGAAGTCTGGTCAGTACGGGCTGGCGGGCATCTGCAATGGAGGCGGTGGAGCTTCTTCTATTCTGATCCAGAAGCTGTAAGAAGACTTGGCAAGAAGCTTCTGTTCCTTTAAGAGTGTTGAACTGTGCAGTGACTGTCTGCTGGTTCCAAAGGACTCTCACATCTATAAGCTCCTGTTAATTGTGAAGAAAGAATCTGTTACGTTAATGTCAGCGGCCTTAGCAAACAGCAACACGGGACTCCTGTGATGTCGTGACTCCAGTGTACAAAACACTCCTCTTGTTTGAGAACACGTCTTGTGCAAAAAATAGAATAATGTTTAACTCTGGTTAAATAAATAGTTTTTTGAAAGCACTGTCTTGTTATTGGTCTGTTGTTTAGCATGTGTATTTACTGGGTAATGCTACAATTACCAGTTTGTGTTGTATTTCAAACTGGCCACTAGATGCCGCAACTACCTTTCTTAAGTTAAGCTGTTCTTACACTGGATACATAACGTGCCAGAGATAAGCGATAACATTGACTGTGCTCTGTTTGGCTGCATTATCTGCAACAGCAATGTCTTTTTAACCTTTTGAAATTGGGGATTAAAGGATCAGTTTGCCTCTGATTATAAGAACTGCACTTTTCCCCTCTCTTAAATATTCTCTGCCTGAAGGGAAACAAACATTTGTCTGTAATGATAAAACATGAATTAAACTATATTATTTATATTAAGACAAGAATGTAAAACAAAAAAGATGCTAGATAGATACCATTTTGATGGGCTAAAGCATTTGTAAATATTCACAAGGTAATCCATGTGTTTAAATAGACAGAATTCATCCATAGAGTTTAGTGGACTCATGTTTGTGGGGTGCGGTTTAAGTGTAGTGTTGCTGGAAATGTATCATGTTTTTCCCCTGTGGGTGAACACCTAGTCAGGATATGCTGCTCAGTAAAGGTGAGTTTCATCAAAACCGGGGGAAGGAGGGTGCAATGAGTGGTTAGCTTTATGCAGGATGTTTTGTTTCCTCTAATTAGCTTGACCTCGATGATCCCTCATTATCCTCACACCCTTTCAAAGTCAGTTTAAGGTTGTGAGTGTGTCATTTAGACATTATGTACCTCCACCGTGTCCTTCATGACGTCATCTTTCTTTCTCTATTTTGCATTTCCTGACAGTTGGCACATTCATACAGAGTTAAATTTTAACAGGGTCTGAAAGTCCTTTGTCCATTCTTTTTTAAAGTCCACTTATTTAGACGTCACAAATTAAACTCAGGGAACTCTTTGCTTTGACAGGACCGAGATTTACACTTAATGTAAGTGCATATATTACACCTTTTCACCCTATTTTTAATCTTCATGTTATGGTTAGCAGAATATAGTAGAATCTTATTAGGCCCCAGAGTAAAGCTGTGAAGACTGGTAAGAGATGGAGCTTTGATTACCAAAACACATGCCTTATGCAAAAGAACCTAAGCTTGTATGAGATGCACAGGATTGTTACACCAATCTGCAAACCTCTCGGAAATATATATAGAACACTGTCTCTCATCTGTACTGAAGTATGGTGCTTTGTAATGGGGGTGGAATTGTATCAAAAGCATTGTTTGCATTTGTCTCAATCCGAACGTGTGTATTTCAGTCTGTGTGGAGATTTGTGTGTGCGTAGCAAAAGTTACATGTTAAAATAAAAGAGAGAAAAAGTAAAACTGCATGATTGTAACTTATGATTTGTGTGTTGTTGTTGTTTTTTATAGAGATTTGCGCTTTAATACTTTTGAACCATTCATACTCACAGAACAGACATGAACACACAGACATACTGATTTCTCTACGCACACACAAATCTGATTACACGAACTGGAATATGTACATGTGAATTAAGATACTGAGATATGCCCATATTCTTTGCACCTGTCATTTTTTTATCCAGTTGTGTGTAAATCCACTTGAGCACCACATGCTGGGTGCGCACACAGTGGGAAAGGGCGTGACTCTGGCTGTTGATTACATTCGAGGCGAGAAAGAAAATGAGACAGGGAGAGAGAGAAACAAATGAGTGCGGTAACAGAGTCAGAGAACCGAAGGAAACTTTCGAGGTGAGAACTAGTAAATAATTCTAAGTAATTTAGCTGTCCTGGATCACATGATACCTTCATACCAAAGTAAGATGAGCAAGGATTTATTCAAAAATGTTCTCTCTTCAGTTTAAATCTTATTTGTGAATAACAGAAAAGTGTAAACGAGTATTTCTGTTTCATTTTAATATGTGTGTGTTATTTTTTAGCTTCTTATTGTGGGGCCAAGCTGTTCAGTTTAATGAAAAAATACAAATCTGCAAAGATGTGTGAATGTTTTTATACCTGTGTGGCACCTAACAACTAGTATTTAAATGTGTTTAAATTTTACACATCACTTTTCAGGTTTCACAGAGTTCTTCTTCTTCGGGCAGTAAAATCAGTTTCACTATGAATAATAATCAGGTAAGGTCACCTCAAGTGTTATTCTCAGGTTGTTATTTGACTAAACATACATATACAAACAGGCTCGATCTGATATCTCAACTTTATAACTGAATCTAACAAATCGATGCTGATGAAATGATTACCTCAGTGACAGGTAGAGCAAATAAATTCATCTTTTTTTTTGTCTGTATATCTCCAGGTGAGCGGTCCCATGTATGACAACCAAGTGTTTAAACATGAAGAATATAGTCCTCCATCTTCTGTAACACAGCAGATCCCCAGCCATTCCTCCATCAACCAGTGTTATACTTCAACACCTGGAATACCAGCTAATCCAAGGCAAACAAAAGGTACTGGAATATTTGATTTGACCAAGGTTGTCACTTGGCAAATATCCATCTGGAAATATGTATTGCACATTCACAGAATCATTAACTTATTTTTGTTCCACATTTTAAATCCACACATACTAATTTAACCTAAATAATTAAAATTGTTTCCCTGATCAAATGAATGCAGTTTCAATCGAGTCTTTTCTAGAGACACAAGACAACGTGGCTAAAATAGTTTTAAACTGTTGTTGTCTAAAAGTTGGCAGGCAGAAAGCCGTGGTGACTGTTACACCAACTGATGAATTTATTGATTAACTGATTTTTAAAGTCGATAAACTTGAAGAGTTTTACGGTGTTTCCACAAGTTAAATACTGTGCAAATTTTAATATGCAGCATAAAATAGGTAACTGTAACTTCCTCTTAACCACTAGATACTCACAAATTCAGAACGTAGACACTGAACTATCCAGACACACCTTTCTGAATATGACTGCATTCATAGAGAGTTGCAAACTATGAAAGATATACAAAACAAAACAATAAAACACAGAGTGGAGTTATACTTTTGCATAAAGTTTATTTATATAGTGCAATGCAGAAACTCTTCATATTAATTGAAATGTTTTAGTTTCATAAGCTCAATAAAAAGAAACTCTAAATATTAAAGTTAGAAGATGTTAAAAGCAAAAGAAAAGAAAAAGTAAATGATGTGTTTATTTACTTCAAGAATTTTGGTTTACAATGTTTATATGAGCCTCAAAGTAAGTTAGCTGTGTTTATGACTCCTCTTTGGTAGAGTTTATTGCTTCTTGTTAACTGTTTTATGGTTTACATTACTACAATATCACAATATTCATCTGTCGTCAGAGTGGCTGTTTAGATTTCTAAAACATGGGCAAACTCAGTGCAGTTGTGTCTTGTTTGTGACTGTGCATTAATGATTGGGATAGTTATACATTTATACAGCTCCAAATCACAACAACAGTCACCTCAAGGTGCTTATATTGTAAGGTCGACCCTACAATAACACATACAGAGAAAAACCAACAATTATATGACCTCCTATGAGCAAGCACTTTGGCGACAGTGGGAAGGAAAAACTCCCTTTTAACAGGAAGAAACCTCCGGCAGAACCAGGCTCAGGGAGGGGCGGGGCCATCTGCTGCGACCGGTTGGGGAGAGAGAAGGAAGACGGGATAAAGACATGCTGTGGAAGAGCGACAGAGATTAATATCAAGTATTATTCAGTGCAGAGAGGTCTGTTAACACATAGTGAGTGAGAAAGGTGACGGAAGAAGAAATACTCAGTGCATCATGGGAATCCCCCGGCAGCCTACACCTATTGCAGCATAACTAAGGGAGGATTCAGGGTCACCTGGTCCAGCACTAACTATATGCTTTATCAAAAAGGAAAGTTTGAAGCCTAATCTTAAAAGTAGAGATAGTGTCTGTCTCCCAAATCAACAGTTTTTCCATGAATTTTTACAAATTGATACAGGATTGTCTTTTTTTTTTTTTTTTTTTTTTATCTTGGCCTTCAGGAAGAAAGAAATGTCACTGGAAGTACATCCTGAGTGCATTTCTGTGTGTGACTGTTATCCTGGCAGTGCTCGGACTCTTGCTGTGGTACTTCCGTGAGTTGATCTGGAGACTGTGCAGCTGCATAAAATTATTTTTATAATTTAAGTATTGTAATGTGGTATGATTCTGCATGCTGTTGTATATATATGAGGTTCACAGTAGTAAGTGCATGTGCTCACAGTATACTACCAGTGTCTACTGGGGAAGTCGTGTGGAAAAGGTGGGATGTGTCTGAGCCATACCCGGTGGTGTGATGGAACCATTGACTGTCCAGATGGAGAGGATGAATCTCAGTGCTGTAAGGCATTCAAATCAGTGTCTCAGTCTTCCACACAGTTATTTAGTGTACGAATCTATTTTTTAATAGACTTGATGTTTCACAGTTCGCCTCCAAGGGGCCAACTCCATGCTGGAGAGTTATTCATCAAGCAGCCAGACCTGGATGCCCGTGTGTGCTGACAACTGGGATGATAACTATGGACGAACTGTGTGCAGACAGATTGGTTACAGCAGGTGCTCATTGTCCTTTCCCACTGACACACTTTTGCAATGTGTGGTGTAAAAAGCTCACTCATATTACACGACTCATGATTTGCATTGCTACTGGACCTTGAATAATTTCCAAACTAAAGCATTTTTTAAAAGTTACATACAAAAATATTTTCTTGGATTAGATATAATAGATATTAGTTTGATATAATAATGTGTGCGTCACATTACTGTAACTCCTCAGCCCTTTGACAAAAATGATAAGAATCATCTTGTAATTTTACACCTGGTGGCCTGTATGATACGTGGGTGATAAAGTGTTTGTTTTTTTAGCTGCACAGAGCTACTGCTTACCTGTGGAAACAATGGATGTACTTAGTTTTTCCACCCACTGAGACAACAACTAATATTCTTCTGAAATGACAAATGTGCAGTATTGATTAGTACATATTTTTCAAAGTTCTAACTCAGAGGGAATGTCCTTGCGTGACATGCATGTATGTGTGAGTACAGTCTGCTGGTCTCATCTCCCTGTCACACGTGCCTCTTTGTCCCACAGAGATGATTATTTTGCCTACAGCCAAACCAGTGCAGGTTCTTTGGCCTCCAATGGATATATGAGGCTGGAGTCCGGAAGTAATAGTGGCTCACTAATACAGTCACAGCTCACTCACAGGTATACACAACCACATATCACTGAGTGCTCACTTCATACACACCACAGCATTTATAAAATGTGCCGTTTTTTTCATCCTTTCACTTTGCAGCTTACTGTGCTTCTCCAAAGCTGTCACACTTCAGTGTATTGGTAAGCTACTGTGTTCTCTGTGACATACGTGAAATAATAATGTAAATCCCCAAAACTTGATTCTATTTATCTGGACGTCGTGTTTCAGTGAAGAAGCGTTTCCTCACTTGGATGAGTGATGGACAGAATCAAGTTTTGGGGATTTCCTTACTTGGATGATTGATCATACATCAATGTAATCATTTAGTCTGTCCATTTGTCTGGTGCTACAGTGTCTGAATTGGTTTAAAAGCTTGAAAGTCAGCGAAAGTAACATTGAGCTCCTCGGTCCTCAGAATGTGGCAAGAGTTCAGCAGCTCCGAGCAGTCGTATTGTTGGTGGCACAGAGGCTGTAAATGGAGCCTGGCCATGGCAGGTCAGCCTCCAGGTTTCAGGTCGACACAGCTGCGGAGGCTCCATTATCAGCCGATACTGGATCCTGTCTGCTGCACACTGCTTTAAATAGTGAGAGCTTCTATTCTCTGCTTTCTTTCACCCGAACATGTCATTGTGCTGTTGAACAATAGCAAAAACATAATCCCTCTGACGGAAGTAATCCTGATTCAAAGAACTACCTGTGTGTGTGTCATATTTACAGCTTAATGACTTAGGTGTGCCTTCAAAGACAAAGTACACAGGATATATGGGAATTTTACTTTATTGCAATATATTTATTCACATGTTGGTAGAAAGGTTACTGTGTCACTGATAGCAGTGAAGCACGCGACGTGTCTGCAAGTTCAGTAGGTTTGTCTCTTTTTCGACAACAGGTTCACTTACTGTGTTTATCCCACAGAAGACATTAACATTAACTATCTTAGTTGAAGCAGGCCTAAGGTTTGGCCATGCAGCTTTGACAACCATACATTCAATTAGATGATAAAACTGTGTAAGACTGGAACTGCCAAATCGTTATCATACAGTGTCCTCAATTTCTCAGTGAGAGCCACCTTTACTTTTTATGTCGAGTCTCCAACTATCAGTTGTCGAGTCCTCCACTCAAGTGGAGGATTCATAATGGATCAATAGAGACCTCGTGTTCATCTTTTATCTACAGTGTTTTGGCTAATATTTAATAAATCCACCATGCCCATTTCACTTTGTCTTTTCCTTGGCAGTTCCTCTTCTCCTTCATTGTGGAGGGTAAACTATGGGGACGTGAACTTGGAAAACATGTTTAACAGCAGAGTTCAGAAAATCATCAAACATAAAGATTTTGACACAAGAACGAATAATTATGACATTGCTCTCCTAAAGCTTGATACACCTCTGACTTTTAACAGTAAGTACTTGGAAGTTAATTTCACATGTTAATTTCAATGATACTGTGATTACGTGATTGCAAATCCAGCACTCTAAGGTGATACATGCTTATGCCTCAGATAAAGTTCGGCCAGTGTGTCTCCCCAATGTTGACCTGAACCTTTCTGCTAATCGTCAAGCATGGATCACAGGATGGGGAGCACTGCAGTCAACAGGTGAGGCAAAACCATAACTGAATATGTCAAACCTTCAGCCTTTGGCAACAGCCTTTACCATAACACCCAAAATGTAATTCAATGGTATTTATTTATACCATTTATTTATTTACATTGATTTATTTATACCATTTATATAGCACCAAATGTTTAAAATTGTAAGGAAAATACTCTACAATAATGCAACAATGGAACAATCACATAAGCAAGCACTTTGGTGACAGTGGGAAGGAAAAACTCCCTTTTAACAGGAAGAAACCTCCAGCAGACTCATGCTCAGGGAGGGGCGGGGCCATCTGCTATGACCCGACCAAGCAGAGGACTTAAATACACAGAACGGCAATGAGGAAAGTGGAAACACATGGGGAACACAGCTGATACAAAGTGACGCCACAGGGGAAGCAAAACTAAACACACAAAACATGGACCGTGAGACTAGCAAAGTAAAACAGGAAACACTGAGACATAGACTGACACGTGAGCATGCGTCAACATGACAGGAGGCAAGGCAGATGAGAGAGGGAGCGAGGGAACACGAGAGAGGGGACGAGAGAGCACAAGTAAGAGAGACATGACGGCTGGGGAGACATGGAATGACACACAGGAAGTGGAGACGAGACATCTCGACAAGGCAACATGGAAACTAAACATAGCAGCCGAAAAGGAAAACCAAAATACTACACACAAAGAAACCACAAAACACCATTAATTCCAATAGGCTGGCTTAAATGACCCAAGTCACTGGAAATTAGTTGATTCCAGTCCTGGCCAATTGTTCGATGCATCTCTAATTGTAAGTTCTTAATCATGTAACACTAACCAGCATTTTCAAAAAAGGCAGACACTGTTTAGACTATTACAATATGTGAATGAATGTCATTGATTGATTAACATCTGTTTCATTAACTTCAGTTAAATTTATTCAAGCTGTTTTTTAGCAATACCAGAAATATGGAGTCAGTATTAGGACATCAAAACTGATCTGATGTTTACTGTCACCTTTTTTTTTTCTTCTGTACAATAAATGCAACTACCACCAGTTCATTATTATATCTTCACTAATAGCTACCACTACATTTTTTCCATGAAAAAGTAAAACAGTTATGCATGTCCTGTCCATGTTAAACAAGACTTTTTAATGACCCTTAAACTAGTAACTGTGATATCCTCAGTTAATAGGAACATAAATGGATATTAAATAAAGCCAGTGAGCAGAACAGACTCTTTCCAACTGAGAATGAAAAGAAATACAAAGTTCAGTGTGTGACCCAGAGCAGAAGAGTAAAAACTACTACCGCTGTTTTGGATTTTTGTTACTTGTTATTAACAATATACAGTGTGTTTATGGCCTTGGATTTGGGATTAACGTGCTAGTGACAGGACCTTTGAGCCAGCTTCAGGCTTCTCAGAATGAAAAAAAAGTATTCAGACCTGAGTGGGTCTATTCCAGCAGCTGTCGATGTAGTTTGTGTCCACGTTGACACAAACACAAGAACACAAGACAAATTTAGGGGTTGAATACTTTTTCACAGCACTGTCTAATATAAACTACGTTGAGTGAGAAACCTGTGATGCTCCTTTTCATTTTTCATTGTCGATTATTTCAGATGGGACTTAGCAAGCACTGCCTTTCATGTTTGTCTGAGTTAACAGTGTGAATAATCCTTTTTCCAGGGCCAACCCCCAAAATAATGAATCAAGCCAAGGTGACCATTTACAGCAGGGCCACTTGTAATGCACCTGAAGTATTAAATGGTGAAGTCACCAAGGCCATGTTCTGTGCAGGTAGCCTGGAGGGAGGAGTTGACTCCTGTCAGGTCAGTGTGATCCTCCTGTCACACACTCTGAGATGTAGCAATACGTGTACAACCTGAGATATGTCTGTGGTTCTGTGTGCTGCAGGGTGACAGTGGAGGTCCCCTGGTCGTGAAAGAAGGAGATCGATGGTGGCTGGCAGGAGCTACGAGCTATGGTTATGGATGTGCTTTGAAGAACAAGCCAGGAGTCTATGCCAATGTACCATTCTTTATTGACTGGATATACGAAAACATACAGGTACATATGCAATGGGAGGAGAATAGAGAATAAAGTCCTGTGAAATTATCTGTTGATTAATCAGTTCACTTTGTACATGACATTGAATGTTTGACTGTTTTTCATGTTGTGTAAAATTATGTTCTCTGATACATAATTTGGTGATTAATAATCATCTAAGAGAACAAAAGAGAATCTGCTCTTCCCCCTAAATCTAATCATACTTTTTTTTCTTTACCTCCATAGAATAACTGAGACGTCGGTGAATTTTTGAAAGGAACTACTTGAGTTACTTGCAAAACAAAAATCAACCAACAAAATAATGGATCAGCATTTTTATATTCTTGTTTATAGCATGCACTGAATTTCTTGCATTTGGACAAAATAAAGCTATTATTTGGTCCAATAAAACTAATTTTCAGCAAAGAGTTGTTTTTTTGTAAATTCACATTGTGCGATAGATGTGCTACAGAAAAATGTAGCTTTGCTTTTCTTACTTCTGCCTGGCTAACGAAGCTTGCTATGCCATGCCTGATACAATGAAATGAATTCATACATGTGCCTTTTAGCTCCCACCTCAACTAAGTATGATGTCCTTGAAGTGGAACAGCAAGGTCAAAGCCAGGAAATCAAATTTTGACTGTGTCACATAATGTTATGTAATAAATTCCACTAGAGTTAAATGGTAAAAAATGGTAAATGGCCTGTATTTATATAGCGCTTTACTAGTCCCTAAGGACCCCAAAGCGCTTTACATATCCAGTCATCCACCCATTCACACACACATTCACACACTGTTGTGTTGTATCTCATAACTGTTTCAAAATAAAATATGACCAATGTCAAATGTTCTGAAATAAGTTGTACTTTAAGTGTTCTGTGTGCGCTGTGGATGACAGCTTTGCTCACACTGGAGTCTGTTTCCACATATTATAGGAAAAACAATCAGCCAGGAATTCAGTTCTGCCCAGTAATAAGTGACAAATCAGTTAACTAATGGTAGTTAATGTTTTATGGTATATTACTGTCACATGTTCTAAGGCACTTGTCTACAGACAGGATTTTTTTCAGCTACTAGCTGTTATTTTCCATTTCACTGTCTTAGCTTTGATATTTACATAATGTTTTTTTTCAGAGTCCTATACTAAAGAGTGGTTTCACAACAATAATGTGTGCATTACTGTGAGACAAGTGCTTAAAATACATAGAATAAAAAAATGCTGTATTAGAATGTTATTGTGGATAATAGCTTAAAGCAGTTTTCATTAAGACTAGCAAAGTTTAAATAAACACTAGTGTCTTTCTACTTGAATAAAAGAGTGAATGAGGCTCTCGCTCCATTCTGATGTACTTCCAACCTTCAGATCAAATTCTTACTTATTCTTTAATTGCTTCTTTTCTCTTAGCAAATGTGCAGGAGCTGCTTAAATGCACACATTACTTGCTGTCGACCTTTTAGGAAGACTAGTACTTTTACTAGCCTGATCTAATCGTTTTTTGAATTGCTTTACCAAATGCAACTGGTATATCACTGGTTTACGCAGACCCCAGTTCAATCAGACCCAATTTAAAATGTCAATAAATAAATAGCAACGATGATACAGAATGCAATGGTTCATAAATGCATATTTTATTCACAACAGAGCAGAGAAAATGTATCAGATGTATTTAGACTTGTCTCGAAAAAGTTGGGACAGGTGCAAGAAGAGAATGAGCGGTACTGGCCACGTTTCAGTAACATGATCGGGTTTAAAAAGAGCATCTCAGAGAGGCAGGGTTTCTCACGCTTATAAAGATAGGCAGAGGTTCCCCAATCTGCAAAAAACTGTCTATAAAATGTGAATAAATTTCAGAATAAAGACTTTGAATATCTTTTTATCTACTGTACATACAGTAACCATAGCCCATAACCTGGCAAAAGATTTTAGGGATTTAGGACAAAGTTTCCATGATCTTTGGGCCCTCAGGTGGCAGTGCATTAAAGACGTGATTCCTGAAGCCTGAATCAATTCACCATGCCATCCACTAATGCAGGTCTCTAGCATGCAAAGGAGTCATGTGATCCAGAGACACCAGGTCCTCACCTGGGCTGAAGCAAAGTGGATCTGAAGAGATACTTGTTATCTGCATCTTGTTATCAGGACTCAAAATGCTTACTGATGGTATGGGGGGCAGAATTACCTATTGAACTAGCAGCTTGCACATCTGGAAAGTCACCATCAGTGCTGAAACATATATACAGGTTTTAGAGCAACACATCCAGATGATGTCTTTTTTTAAGGGAATTGTTTGCATATTTCAGTAAGACAATGCTGAACCATATCTCACACCTCTTACAACATCATGGCTTCATAGAAGAGTCAGGCTGCTTAACTGCCCGGCCTACAGTCCAGAACCTCTCACCTACTGAGAACATTTGGCACATCATAAAACAAGACATAAAACAAAGGAGACCCAAGACTGTTGAGCAGCTAGAATTCTACATCACACAAAAAAGCAAAAACAAAAAACAAACAAAATCCTGTCCTAAATGTAACTGGTCTCTTGAGTTCCCAGATGTTTCTCCATTGTTGATGCTGAGATAATGCTGCACAGCGGTGAACATGGCCCTGTCTCAACTTTTAAATTGAAATAAGATAAGAATGAGATTTGCAAAATATTGCATTCTGTTTTTATTTATGTTACAACCCAAGTTTTTTGGAATTGTGATTGTAAATGTGTTTTCCATTTTTGTGTTACCGATGTCATCTTGTTTTAAAGACTTACTGCCCGTAAGAAAGTTATAATTACTGTGAAACTGTGCATTATTGCAACGTTGATCATGTTTGTTGATGGTATTACCAGTAAACAGTCAATGATGAGTCATTTACTGACAAGCAGACTTTTGAAAAAGGTGTGTCACCACTACATACAAGGCAAATTTCCTGTTTCCTGATCCTTCCTGGAACCTGTTTGTTTCCTTCACCTGATGTTTTGCGAAACTCTGTGTGACGATTCTGAAATCGTTTTTCAGTAGTTTAGATATTTAGAAGGGTTTGTTTAAAAATGGACATGTTTTAACATAAAATCACTCATCATTTCTTCTGATGAGTGATTTTATGTTAAAACTATTGCAAATCTATTTTCAGTATTATATTCTACAAAGTATGACATGTGATTATAATTATATTGAGCAATTGTTACATAATAGCTTATTTGTTATATATCACTACATCTTTCATGTTGAAATTACAAGCAGAATTCAGTGTCGGTAAAGACAGCACAACTAAAGATCCCCAAACAAACACAGTTAATGTGGGCTATAGCGCCCTCTCCTGGCAGCCACAGCCACACTCACATATGTCACTACATCTTTTTGCGCTCTTTTAATACGATTCTTTTTATTTCTGTTCTGTGAGTCGTTTTAATGGAATTTGACTCCGAGAAATGTTCTTATCAGACAGCAAGAAAGATAAAATGCATAAAATGCTGTGTGGCTAAATAAATTCCAAAAGAAATACTCACCACATTCCCTC